GACGCCGCGCCCGGCTTTTTTTGCCTAGGCCCTAAGCATTGCCAGCTGAGATGGGGTTCAGAAGGACTCTTGCCACAAAACAGGACAATTGTTATACCCCACGTGAATTGCGAGGTAACTGTTTTCGCTATACCACCCCACGTTTTCGGAGCCCCCAAAACGCAAAATCCAACATAAGGGCAATAGCTTAGAGATAACCTTTCCTGCTCTCTCCTGAACAGCCCTCCACTGTGGCGAGGAGTTGTGCTTGCACGCCGCTTGTTTGGCAAGACGTTTTTTGTGATGATGTTGAGGGAAGCTCAAAAAGGAACCCGAATATCCTTCTCCTTTCTTTAAACGTTTTCGAGCCGGACCGATGTCTTCAAGCTCTTCACTGCATGTTGGTTTGTCATCCATGATCTTGCCGAGTGAAGAGGCTTGGCTTGGGTTCGAAACGGGTTTCAGCTTGGGTTGAACCCAGCTGCGAACCCAGGTTTAGTCCGGCTTGAACCCAGGTTCGAACCCAGATCAAGTCCAGCTTCCAAAGGTTCAAACCTGGGTTAACCTCCGGGGTAAGGGCCAGCCTCGTTCTGAGAAGACCATCTAGCCGAAGATAACTCCGATGCCCAACCATTGGAGGACTTCGGTCCGTCGGCGCCATTCGGGCCTGGTGTAGCACCAGTGCTTCGGGGACGGCTTTTTGCATCAACAACTGTATCTTGATCTCCTACATTGAAAATCGTGCTCACGTGGAACGGAACCACCAGACCGACATCCCAGCGGTCTGATTCCGGTTTTTCAAGCTTTTGCTGCTTGACAGTGCCTGGCGTGGGCCTGCCGTGGTGGGCTCGGGTTGACAAGGGAGACCTGGGGCAGGATGCTTGCACGCAGTATGGGCGGTGGACGCTGCTCGCAAATTGCCCGCTTTGAGCATCTTTTAGCATGCTTGGGCGTCTGTCACGCTGTGACGCAGCCCGTGTTCCTTTTTGTGTTCGTTTTGCTAACGGAACCCGTACAGCTACTTCTTGCTGCTGCTTCCACAAGTGATGTAGTAGATGTATGATGAAGACGTATGCCAAGCTTTTCCATGTGGTACCTAAACTCGCGCCAGAGGTCATCCTGCGGCCATTGTAGTTTATGGTCTTTGTGGCGGTCCTGCAAGGCGGTCCTGGTCGTCTTGCTCATTATGGTGGCCGTGGGCGATGTCGTAGTCCTCATGCTTCGCTCTTCTGGTCGCATCGGTCGTCATTGTCGCGGGTTTCGCGGTCGTCGTGGTTTTGCTGGTTCTTCTTCGACGATAACTTCAAACTGCGCTGTTGTCAAACCAAGCCGTTCTCTTTTTAATGTTTGTCGCGCCGTGGCAATGACAAGCCACTGACTGCAATGAACTCGCAAGGCAGTGAGAGAACTAGTAGATGGAGTTCGTTTTTTTGCAGAGGCGAATGGCGATCATAACATTGTTGAGTGAACATCGATTAGCTTTGATTTTCGTGCAGTCGAACATGTTGAATGTAGAGAACGATGCGACGAAGTGTGTTGTTTCATCAGTTGTGTTTTCTAGTCTAGGCCGCCGATGCTCCAAGAGTTTGATATGGCGGCCGGAGATGCAGAAAAAAACGTTCCAAATTTGACGGGGGAGAACGCTCTGGATGTGGATGATGGGTTTGTTTGCATGTTTGCGTTTATTCGAAGCGGTATACGGCGAGTTTTTTCCGTGGCGTTACACGCCAGGCTCTCAGTCAGGCAGGCAGAGCGCCGACAAGACGCCCACACGCACAGCCCCCGAGGCTGACCGGCAGCTGCCATCATGGGCTGTGGACCGTCCTCAGAGGCCGGCTCTCTGAGGATAGGGTTTCCAATCTAGTAACTAGTAACAGCTAGTAGTGCCGTTTGCTTCCATGGTTGCTGCTGTCATGACCAAGCAGAAGCCAAAAGTGTTGGTGCTTGCAGGCCAATGAGCAATTCGTGCGCTTGGTCTTCACGACACAGCCCATGGTGGAATGCATGTGTTGCAGGATTCTTAGGTTGGCCGATGGAGCGGTCAAAGCGGGAAACGAGAAGGTGTTCGTTCACGTTGTGTGTCTCCGAGCGCCCAGGTCCAGGGTTGAAGCAGGTGAACGGCGCGATTCCGAGCTGGTTGCCCCAGGCAAGCTACTCCAGGACCGCCGAGAATCGATTCGAGACTTTGTGGTGCGATGGCCGGGCCGGGTGCGACATCCATGAATCGAAAAGATGGACCGTGTGACATGGAGTATGCAGTTGCTTGGTTACTGTGGTATCGTGTTCGAAAAGGCCGCAAGTACTGTCCAAGCTCAGTGCCCAGCAGAGCCGCAGTCCCCTTGTTGCATGGTGAGGGCAACCGCCACTGCCATCTGTGTGTTGCTTCTCGAAGGATCTTGGAGATCTGCGCTCCATACCACGCCTGCATCTACTGCCAGGCCTTGGGTGAAGCAGGGACTTGGAAAGCTTGTGGGCGCACGCTTCCTGCGCTGCCAAGATGGACTGCTGTGGTGCACCATTGTGTGAGAACCCCTTTGCGCAGGCTCAGCACAACTTTGGAGATTTGAAGGGAGGTTTAGCTGGACGAGGGGTCCACGCAGAGCTCAGGCGAATGCTCCGCTGCAGCAGCTGGAGAAGGCTCTCGCTTTGTGAGTGGGGGAAGCCGAAAGGCACGTCTTGCAGACTGTCCAGTCCCGTGCCGCCGTGGCATCTCTGACTTCAGGAGCTGCCCAGCTATCATTTTAGCTTCTCTGCAGACGCTCGGCTTCTTGTCCAACGGTCGAACTACTGTTGGTCATCAGTCAGAATCTTCCAGAGGAGTGGATCGGCTTCGGAAAGAATGCCAACTGGCAACACGTTCTGGAAATCCGGCCGGGCATGACGGTGGGACAAGTTCTCGGGATCGAGGCGGGGGCAAAGCAGTTGTGTGGTTCTCCCATCCCTAATGCACAATGTTGCTCCGAGGCGCCGGCCCAGGGCAACATGTGAGATAGTGTAAGACTGTCTGCGTGCTGATCCCGTGCCGGGTGCTAAGCTTTAGGCAGTTCTGCAGGGATTCTCGTGACACGGTGAGCATTCAGGGACACTGTGAAAGATTCAGCTGAGCATGGGCTTTCCGGTGTCAGTGGGTGCAATCCCTGTGACGAGCCGTCGTGACGAGCCCAGAGCGGTGAGTGCTCGACCACCCGATCTCGCCTGTGGTTAAACCATGTACGGCTTGAAGTTTGCGAGAAGCGAGGCACAGGCCGCATTCCATCGTGTGTACATGGGGCAGAAGAACCCGCTGCAAACCTTCGGCCCTCCGCGATACTGCAGACATTAAGCCTTCAGCCCCTGCAACTTCTCTGAGTTCCCGTGAAAGGCCTCCGCAAGCATTTGGAGCGCAAGAGGACGCCTATGTGTCATGCTTCGCGATACGCATTCTGCAGCATTGTAGCCCGCCACTGAGACACGGCGAAGCTGTCTCTCAAATCGAACTCGCAGGGTGGGACGCCGGTCCACTGGACCTTGCCAGATGAGAAAAGAGCCCGAGGGGTTGCTTCAACTTTTCAGCGGCAGCTGAATTTTTTGTTTCCCCTAGAACAGCTGGATGCTGCATATGTCAGTTTCTTTGGCTATGAGGTCCGTAGAGCACAAGAGCACAAGCAAGGAAGGTCCCAGTTTCTCAGTGGCCGACTCGAAGTCCTCAGCTCCCCGAAAGCACTGGCACCCCAGCTCCTGGCCAGTTCTCCGTAAGCTTCCGGGAGCTTCCAGGAGCTTCCAGCTTCAGAGTGCTTTCTTCATAGCCGTTAGCGCGGTGTCCCCATGTGAAGCAGCCTCCCGATCGGCCGCTGCGGCCGCCGAGCGCGCCCGTTGCGCCCATGACCATCGAGCTGACCCCAAAGCGCGACCAGCAGGACCTTCTTTTGAGTCTCCCAACACCCCAGGCCCAAAATCCTAAAACATCTCATGGACCCACCTTGGAAGCCTCGCTGACGAGGTGGGGTCCACGGATCGACCCGTCAGGGAGAGCTGGTGGAGGCTCCGGCCTGCGGAGCGCTGCGGCCGAAGCTGCACACAGCTCAAGCGATGGCTACTGCGGGTCCTCGGCATCGTGGCCGCGGAGTTCTGGCAGCACCGGCAGGTGTTTCCGTTGGCGCTGGCGCAGATGATGCTGGTCGCGGACCAGCCGCTGCTGCCCACCAATATGTCTGCTGTGGCCAAGGAGTTCGGTTTCGATGCAGCCGAGAGGGACGAGAAGCTCGGAGGAGTTGTCAGCGTAGTATTCTTCACCTTTGGGGCCATCTTTTCGCTGCTGGTCGGGCGTCTCGCAGACCGCATGAGCCGGACGACCCTGGTGTGCCTGTGCATGATGCTAGGCTCCAGCGGCACCTTTGCGAACTCGCAGGTCCAGGGCTTTCTGGCCTTGCTCTGCTGCCGGGGTGCTGTGGGTGCCGCCACAGGCGGTCTGATCCCTGCCAGCTTCGCTTTGATCGGGGACATGTACTCGGCCGAAGAGCGGCCGCACGCCATTGGCATGGTCTCCATCATCTCGGGCCTGGGCCTCTCTGTCGGACAAGCACTCGCCGGCTTTGTGGGCACCGCCTTCGGCTGGCGGGCGCCCTTTGCGCTGGTGGGGGTTCTTGGCTGGGCCGTTTCCGCCCTCCTCACCTTCACGTTTGGGATCCGGCCCTTTAGCGGCCTCAGGCAATCTGCAACGCCGTCTGAATCGCCGCAGCCGTCTGCGCTGCTCGCTTCGACAAGCGACTCGTCTGCGGCAGCGTCCGCAGCGTCGGCTCGGCCTTCGTCGAGAGCCGACCTCTTGAAGCCAACAGTGCTCTGTATCTGCCTGCAAGGTATCACGGGCTGCGTGCCCTGGGCCGTTATTGGTACTTTCATGGCGGACTATCTGGCGACCAATGTCCACATGGGCGTCCCGAGTGCGACGGCCGTGCTTTTCAGCTTTGGGGTGGGCTGCACCACAGGCACAATCACCGGTGGGAAGCTTGGCCAGTTCCTCTACAAGAAGGACAAGCGGCTGCAGGGCTGGCTTATGGGGGTGACAGTCTGGGGCGGCATGCTCCCCATGTTCTGTCTCTTTGCCACCCGGCAGAAAGCGCTTTCTGCCTTTTGGACCTCTTAAAAAGACTCCAGAACCCGACATCTCAGGCTCTGGGTGAGGCCCACCCGATCATTTTCCACCTCTTGGCTCTGTCCGGTGGCTTTCTGTCCTCCATCCCTCCAGTGCGCCTTCTCTGGAGAAGCACAGGTTCTGTGATCCAAGGGTCACCAGACAGAGGTGTTCCGAACGTTCCCTAAACCCCAAACCCCTTAACCCCAAACCCCCAAAACCCAAACTCCTGGGACGCAGCGAGCCCACGTCCAGGGCAGGGTGCCCCTTTGCTTTTTCCTGAATCTCAGCCGTCTCCGTGTCTCTGTATTTGGGCCCTGTTGGCCGTCTCAGGAACGCCAAGGCGGTGCTGCTGAATGTCGTGGCAACCCACTCTCGGGGCACCGTCTTCGGAGCTCCTCGCATTGAAAGGAAAGCTCTCCGATTTCGGTTTGTTTTTGTCTGTTCTGTTGCGATGACCTGGGGTCCGACCAGCCTCACGTGACTCCTCTCAGGTTTACACCATTATGGACGACCTCGGCAAGGTACTCGTCGCAAAGCCGATAGCGGTAAGATTGGGCATGTGTACTCTGCCTCCACGAGCAATCGCACTGCGGACTCTATGTTCTGATTCCTCTTGCAGTGATGATGGTGCTGATCATGAGCGATGATGATGCCGATGGCAGTATCAGAGCTGCTGATGATGTGGGGTGCTGCCAGATTGCTGCTCAGAACTCTGCTATTGTGAATACACCAGACTTGGAACTTGGAACTGCCTTCACCGAGCTCGCTCGCAGGGAGTTTCAGTTTAAAGAAAGGTTGGGTTACATAAGTTCTTATAGGGAGTTTGGCATCAAATGAAGGAGGCAGAGTCCGAGGGATGAATGGTGGACCACAGTGCCAGCTTGACTATTCACGATTGTGGGAAACAAGTTACTGCTTGCAATTCCCAAGTATTGTTGACGTGTATTTGCGTGTGGCTGCCTGCTCTCCGGCTTTGGGATCTGCGTCAGGTGTAAGAGTGTTGCGACAGAGAGAGTGGTGATCGAGTGAGTGGTGGTACTGCTCCTCGTCCTAGCCCCTGGAAAAGCCAGCTGTCTCAGGGACTCGGGCCTGCTCTGGTTTCCAGCTTCGTGCGGGGCATGGGGCGCCAGGACTGGACTCATGTTGCAATCCGAAGTAGTAGTAGTAGTAGTAGTAGTAGTAGTAGTAGTAGTAGGAGTAGTAGAAGTAGTAGTAGTAGTAGTGGTAGTAGTAGTAGTAGTAGTAGTTGTTGTAGCAAAGATATGTGTAACAACAAAGTAGCAATAGCAGTCGAAGTAAACATACAAGAAAATAGCCAACATTAAGAGTAGAAATAATCCGAGTACGCACAGTTATTGTGAGTACTATTCGTAGTCTAGTAGCAGTAGCAGCAGATGTTGGCTCCTCGGATCCATGGTAACTATGATACTTTTGGGTCTAGGGTTTCGAGATGAGGGAGTGTTGTTATTAGAATTTTTGCTGTTTAGGGTTTAGGGTGTGGGGATTAGGGATTATTGTTAGTATTCTTTCATGTTGTTATAGTGGTGAAGCATTCAGACGGGAATCAGACAGGAACCTTCCCCGCCAAATCTTTTGAAGGTTTGAGGTTTCCCTGAAGGCCTATCAGCGTTCTCCACGCCGCCAAATCTCTTGAAGTTTTGCCCAAGGTCCCGTTAGTGTTCTCCTCCGCGCCAAATCTGGTCGCTCAAGGTCCTTTTTGCGTTCTCCTCCGTAGCAAATTTGTTGAAGGTTTGCTCAAGGTCCTTGTAGCGTTCTCCACCGCACCAAACCTGTCGAAGGTTTGAGGTTTGCGAGAAGTCCTTTCTCCACCCCGCCGAATCGGCGAAGTCGTTGAAGGATTGTAGATTGCGCAAGGTCGGTTTCGCGTTATGGGGTTGTTGCAACATCAGACTGGCCGCCGGTTCGGGTTTTTCGTGGTAGCAGGTCGGCCAGGGTTCTGGTAGGGTCTTGGTACCCAGCACTCCATTTGTGGCTCAGGGTTTCGCATCCTCACCCTTCCGGCCTGTCAGGATGCAGCGGGTTTCGCCATCCTGCTAAGTGAAGACACCATGTTTGCTGGCAACTTGTTTTCGAACCTGCAAAATACCCAAAACCTAAACATCCATTTTTTGGCGCCCTCAAAACCCGTCTGCGAAGGTTTCATACTGGGAGAGCAAGTGCCAAACCTTGTTTGGTGTTCGAAGTTGAAACTCATGAGCAGTCGGAGATGTGGAGTGGACCAGCAGTATGGGCCAGGTGCAACTCTAAAGCCACCTGACAGTCTGACGCTTCGCCGTTCGGATGTTCGGCTCAGGTCTCGCGGGGATCACTTTTTGCACTTGCCCCCGTTGAGCTTCCGAAAGCAGATTTTAGCGGCAGCGCTGCGCCTCTACGCCCCTTAGCGTGTCAGGACTCGTTCCTGCTGGGGATGACCTTCTGGCTGCCCTGTGGCCTCTTCTGTGTTGCCTGACTCGAACTATGCTAGAGTTAGAGTAGCTTTGTCGACAACAGCTCTTTGGCCTGTTGTTGTCGATTTGTGGCAACTTCGTAGCAGAGGAGTGTCTCAGCAGCGCCAGGCATGTCAGTGCTCGCCGCATGCCTTGAGATCACCATCTTTTGCGTCAGGCTCTCACGGCCTGTACTGTGCCGCATGACGACCTGTCGGACAAGCCGGAGGAAGCTACTCGGTCACTGCTTGCACTCCCCGCATCTAAAACTCCGAAGCGACCCAACAAAGGTCTCTGCGACTGCTCGCTGATGCGGGCCGAAGCGCCCGATCCCCTGGCCCGGAAAGACGGGCGCATCTGGCCATGCCAGAGGGGAGAAACGGCTTTCTCAGCGAAGGGTCAGAGCCAAGAGAGCACGTGCTTGCATGCTTGCATGTAAGCCTGCTAAGTCACAGACCGTGAACCAAACGGCAGGCCTACCTGTGAAGATTTAGCCTCGACTGCTGTGACCTCAAAGCTCCCACTGTTGGCGTGCTGTGGTCCCATGTGAGGCTTTCTGACTGTTGATGCGACCAGCCTGGCTCAATCTCAAGCTAGGGCAAACGTACTCGTTTTCGTACAGGATCCCAACGCGCAGTGTGGTGACCGGCCAACACAAGCAGCGGTTATGCCTTTGCCTTCAATGAAAACCTTGTAACCTCGAAATCTCAAGGACGTGAGGACGTGAGATGAATTGAGAGTGTGTCCGGAGATTCTTTGTAGACGTAAATTCAGCTGTCCCGGAGCCCAAGAAGGGCTACGTTGCCAGCTCACGATGGCGTCCATGGTCTTCGCCGAGAGCTTACAAGACGTTTCAGTGCCGAGTTGGGAAGGTTCCGCTGGACGAGCACTCTTGACCGCCAAGGTCGTTGCTCTTTGGTGCCTGGTGTGCGCCAGGGCCCAGCTCTTCGGTACGATTTCTTGAGAGAGTCTTGACTAGTCACTAGTCTTACGTACACGCGATCATGCCATCTCAGGATAAATCGGTCGACCAGCTCCAATACGAGGTCGGCTTTGAACATGGTGCAGCGTAGACTCACCGCCTCATTGCATAGCGGTCAAGAAGAACTCGATGCCTTCGAAGCCGTAGAGGGCGGGACGGATCGTGTTTGTCGCGGCAGCAGTGCCTCAGATGACGACAATTCCTATTATGTGGTGCATGGTGGAAGCCGAGCAGCGAGCTTGGAGTCCTGTAAGAATGCCTGTGTCGACACCAAAGGATGCAGAGGCATCGAGTGGAGGCCAGGACGGTGCGAAGTCTGGACGCGTGTTGGTGGCATCCAGGCAGCCGCGGTGACCACCGGTCCTGTCTGCTTGCGGTATGTGCCCTTTGTCCTTGCAGAGGGCAGGCTGGACCGTGCGTGCCGGGGCGGAAGTGTGTCTGACAACAACCCAGCATACTACGAGATCATGACTGCAAGCTCTTTGGAGGCTTGCCAGGACCTATGCTTGGGTTTACCAGCTTGCTTGGGCATCGAATTCAGCGGTACTCGCTGTGAGCTGTGGACGCGATCTGAGCGAATTGCCGCAACAGCTTCTCTTTCGCAGAGTGTTTGCCGGAGGCTTAATGTGTTACTGCCCAGTGTGCAGTTGCCGCCACGTGCTAGCCTTGTGACCTGAAGCTGCCATAGCCGGTGCACCCAGGTCAGCCGTTGGCGCCATTCGTCCAGGTGGATGGTAACGATCGAGCATGCCGAGGAAGGGACGAGTTCGACAATGAGCCGAGCTTCTTTACGAGTCATGCCTTGTCCATGGAAGGCTGCAAGTCTCTCTGCGCGCAAAACCCGCTTTGTCAGGGTGTTGAGATCTCAAGCAGCGACTGCAAGGTGTGGACCCGGGCCTCTGGGATCCAGACCACGGTGCAGCTGGCCGGCTCCGTCTGCCTCCGTGCCGGGACACTTGGAGTTCCCGATGCGTTTCCACGGGTCGATGGCGGCTTCGACCGAGCCTGCCGTGGCCAATCGACGTCCGACTGGAGCCCGTCTTACTTCGTGTATTTCAACGCTGTGCAGGCTCCCACGCTCGATGACTGCAAGGCCAGGTGCCTGAAGAACGCCGATTGCAAAGCTATCGATTTCAGCAGCAATGGCTGCAATGTGTGGACACGACCCGTCACCACCTCAATCAGCTTCAGCGGATCCACCTGCTTGAGCTATGAACCCTTCGTGGGCATTGATGGGGGAGAGAAACGTGGCTGTTTTGGTGCACCTCCGTATCAAATCAAGACCTTGACTTTTCCACCCGCAGAGATGGCCGACCAGTGCAAGCTTGAGTGTGCGAGAACCCAAGCATGCCAAGGCATCGAGTACAGCAGTTCCCACTGCAGCATTTGGACATCCAACATCTCAGGAAGCTATTCCAGCGAGACCCGGACCTGCTTAAGGTATCAGCCTCTCATACCAGTCGGCGGTGGCTTAGACAGAGCTTGTAGTGGCATGGACCCCACTGATGCCTGGCCAAGCTACTACAGTCTCACGAGTTCCGAGTCTTTCTCCGTGGCCTCGTGCAAGACGCTGTGCCTTTCAACCATCGGATGCAAAGGCATTCAGTACACTGCAGGAAACTGTCAGGTTTGGACTCGGCGCGGAGGCATCCAGTCTTCCAGGGATCAGAGTGGTTCCTTGTGTCTGCGCGTGGGTGCCGGGGACATTTGGGAAGATGCCAGCGCCTTCATGCCGATGGAGGGCCACACTTGCGGCGGCGAGGGATTGACGGCCCTCGTGCACGGGCCTGAGAGAGCCGGATCTTTGCAAGAGTGTGAGTTGAGATGTGCATCCATGCCTGGTTGCAGAGGGGTCGATTTCGGAGTAGGAGGATGCAGGACCTGGCACGGGTCTGGAGTGGTCATGGCAGTTGCAGAGCCGGGGTCGACTTGCCACAGCTTCCTGCCGTTTCGTGACGTGGACGGCGGCGAAGGCCGCGCTTGCCGGGGTGTAAGCCCAGATGATGTGCAGAGCTCGTACTACCTGCAGCGCTCTGCCGCATCGTTGCAGGACTGCCAGGACCTCTGTGTGTGGCAGTCTGAGAGCGATGTGACAAGCTGCAAAGGCGTCTCTTACGACTCGGTCTCCGGCACCTGCCTCGTGTGGACTCTCGCAATCGGGGCCACCGCGCCAGAGAGTCCAACGTCGGTCTGCCAGCGCTACGAGCCTTTCGTGGAGATGGGCCGGGACCGGGCATGCCGGGGGTCTCACTCTCAAGATATATCTGACAGCTACTACACCTCTCAGAACTCGTCCGAAGCTCCAAATCTGGAAGCATGCCGTGTCCGCTGCCAACAGTCCTCCAGCTGCAGAGGCCGGAAACCTTTCAGAGCTCTACGGAAATCTTGAAGTGAGCCCTTTCGGCGAGTAGCGAGCTAGAAAGCGCGTTTTTTTTTGTTGTTTTCCTTATTTCTGTCCTTTCGTGCGAGGAGTCGAGTTCGGTCCCGATGGCTGCAAGATGTGGAATCGGGACGTGCGGGCAACAGCCGAAGCGTTTGGTTCCATTTGCCTTCGGCCCCCCGAGCTTGCAAAAAGAGGTGCTTGCTGTAAGGAGACCGTAGAGAAGTTAGAGAATACACATGTTCCTTACTGTTCCATTGATGCTTTGGGCTGGCTTTGCAGAATCCCTCTCATTCCTTGTGTGCACGTACTCCGAGGTTGGCGGTGCAGCGGCTGGAAGAGGTCGCTGAGTCGGCGGACGCCTTCCAACCGGTGGAGGGCGGCAGCGGGCGTGCATGCCGTGGGGCCGACAGCACCGACAGCAGCGCGGCGTACTACGACTACTACCACCCTTCAGTTGTGACCACGAT